AGTCCGTCTGCTGTATGTGAACAACACTAGCGCCTAAACTAGGCGTACGATTTTGTCCTAACTGAATAAACGCCGGTCGATTTAGCATGACTCAAAGCTGTGCGATTTTGAAAAACCTTTTTGAAAATTTGGGGGTACTTTACATGTAGCCTCATGGACATTTTCAATTTTTTTCAAAAAATGGCTCCAATTGTTTCTTTAAATTTATTGTAAGAATAGAGTAAAATTCATCCATAAAGGTGGCATAGGTCCGATTTTCACTGTTAACTCTGAATTTTCGAAAATTTCAGTTTGAATTTTTATTTGCAGGCTTCCTACAACTATAATATCACAACTATAATATTACAACTATAATACTAAAATTCAAGATAGACATTTTTCGTTCAAATAAAATTTATTCCACAGTGAGTTCTTTCGTTGAGATCATGTACATTTTTTTAAAATATATAGTAGATTTCACGCAGTATTGCGAGAAAGGTGGGGGTAGTGGTAAATGCACTCTGTAAGATGACAAACGTCATATTACTCTATCCTTTTGTTTTTCCAAAAATTACAAAAATGTTTTCTTGTCACTCAGTTCGTGAATATTTACATTAGCGACAATTTGCTCACATTATTATATTAATTAGTACATGTGCTTTAAATAATGTCATATAAAGTTTATGGAAAATGGTGTGTTCCGTGCATGAAAGAGGTACGTCCACTCAAGCACATTTTATTCACCCAACATGAACTTTACTATTAGAAATCCTCGGAGTCCACAACGTTCAACTCCCAGTTTGGAGTGTGCTTGTAGCGCGAATGCACCCTCCGTGTGCCTCCGTGCGATGCCAGCACGGCCCGCGGCCCCCAGGATTGGGCCTCCTCTAGAACGAGCGACCTGTTCAGTCACCTCCGCGGAGTCGCCTCTCTCGGCGGCTTCGCGAGCGCCCTCCGGCACGATTTGCTGGCTGGGCGCGGTCCACCCTGCGCGCTGACCCTCACGACTGCCGCCTAGTCGACTCCCGCGTTCACGGACTGCCCGACTCCCTCCAGGCTGGTGTTGACTCCTGCAGACTGCCTGACTCACTGGCTGGGACTCTGCTTTTTTTCTCCTTTTTTTTTTCTTTTTCTTTTTTTTCTCCCTTTTTTCTTTTTCTTTTTTTCTCCTTTGTTTTCTTTTTCTTTTTTTTCTTTCTTTTTCCTTCCCTGGCGGAGTGACTCTGCTTTTTTCCTCTTTATTTTTCTTCGGTTTTCATTCTCCAGTTGCCCTGGTACAATATTTAACTACAGCCGATAAAGCTTGTGCAGCTGTTATAAGGGCAAATCGCAAAATATCAATTTATAATCTAAACTTAAAAACCAATACAAATGCCTCTATAGCCTATTCTAGATAAGATAAACGTTACTTAAATTCAATAGACGTTCTTGGGATAGTTCTTTCTAGTTTGTTAATATATATATATATATATATATATATATATATATATATATATATAATATTCATTCACTCTCACATTCATACTTATACTATATATACAAACACATTCATTTACACGGTAGCACCACACTATTTACACTGATTTATTCGACACGGCGCCGACTTCACTTATGCGTCCGTGGCGTCGCGACGTCTACATTTCCTGGCGGATGACTCTCTGCAACTAGCGGGCCCCTCTTTATACTGCGCGCCCTCGGCCAGACTCGCCCTCCGCCTGCCCGTGACGCCGGTAGCGCGCTGGCGCCGCTGCCGCTGAGGTGCGTTGCCCTAGGGCGCAGTCATGCCGTGTGCCCGCCAAACACACTGAACTCATTCGTTTTCTGTGAAAAGTAGCTCAAAACTCTTCATTGTCAAAAATCGTTATTTTCTCTAAAAACGGCTCCAATTTTTTTTTTTCTTGAAACTTTTCGAACGGGTAGAACTAATTGCACTTATCAATGTGACGTAAAGTTCATTTAGGGATATTTTTTGTTTTCTCAAAAATTACACAAATGTTATTAATTTGAAAGAATTCTCATGCCGTTAATATGCACATTTCCAGAAATTTGTAAATACTATTGTATATGTGAGTTAAAATGCTTCAAATGACTTCATGTGAAGTTTTTCGAAAACTCAAAAATTTTCTCTGAAAAAGCTTCAAATTTTAAATTTACGGAGTGTTAAGCGCCATTTTCTTAAAACCGCTCAAATTTTTTCAAAGAAAATTGCCATTTAGTACGTGGTTTTTCTGTTCTTTGATATTCTTAAAATAATATTTCCAATTTTCACAGTTAACTCTGAAATTTTGGAAGTTGAAAAAGGAAGATTTTTTCTGCGTTTTCCTACAATTACAATATTAAAGATAAGGAAAATCGATTTCGATGGAGATACATGTTCTGGAATCCCCTGATACAGCAAAAGAGCTTTTTTTTTTTCTTTTGTATTGTCCGTTTGTCTTGTGTGTGTGACCAACATTAACGCCTAAACTTAACGTAGGATTTTTTCCAAACTGAATAAGCCAATGTGGATCTGGCCTCACTCGAAGCTCTGCGATTTTGAAAAACATTCGTTAATTTTTGGGGTACTTTGCATGAAGTCTCTGGCAAAGCCAGAGAAAAATTTTCTCAAAAATGACACTAAATTTTTTCAAGTTTCTTAAAAGAAGAGAGTGAAATCCACTAATATTGGTGGCGTAGGTTCGATTTTCACTTTCAACTCTGAATTTTTGAAAATTGCAATTGTTTGTATTTTTGTCGTGTTCCTAAAATTACCAAATTGAAGATAGAGATTTTTTCTTCAAATGAAATTTGTTCTGCGTAATTAGTTCTTTCAGTAATGTGGCGGACATTTTTTAAAAACTTGCAGTCGTTTTCGATTGCAGTTCGCAATTTTGTGTGAAATGTGAGTAATATGATAAAAAATATCAAAAACAAAAAATTCTCAAAACCAGCTCAATTTTTTTTAACATTTGGTAAGGGTTGTTGTACAGGTACAAGGTTACATAAACGCCATTTTGCTGTATTATTTTTTGTTGTTATTTAACGTCGTATCAACTTCTAGGTCATTAGCGACCACTATTATGAGTAACGGTATGATAACTATGAGCATGACACGATAAGATAGGGGGTGAAAGGACGAACACAATACAACCATGCTCGAGGCGGGACCCGCGATCCTTCGGTCCGAGATCGCTACGGCACTACTGCCTTAGCGAGCTCGGCCATCCGGACTGACTGCTGTATTCTTTTATTTTTTCAAAAATAACACAATTGTAATTTTTTGACATCTCTCTCATGTCATTTATATTTACATTAACATTTGTACACATTAAAGCATTTGAGTTCTTGTGGTTTAAATGATATATGACGTTTCTGGAAAACTCAGAAGTTCTATGTGAAAATAAGCTTGAAATCCCGCATTTTGAGAAACGCTCAAACGTCATTTTCTCGAAAACTGCTAGAATTTTTTCTTTAAATTTGGAACGGATAGTGCCAAACGAACGTAATAAGATGATGTAATTGCTTATAGGTGCATTATTATGTTTCTTCAAAAATTGCAGAAAAGTAATTTAGTTGAAATGTCTCTCACGCCGTTAATAATTTCAGTACCAGCGCTTTCTACACATTATTGCATTTGTGAGTAGAAAGACTTCAAGTGATATCCAATGCACTTTGTCGACAATTCAAGTTTCCTATGAAAAAGAGCTTAAATTTCAGGTTTTTTAGGCTCAATTGCCATTTTCTCAAAAATGGTTCCAATTTTTTTGTGCAAACTTTTTGTGTGAAATGCGCTAAATGATCACATAATGTATCATAATAAGATATAATGATATCATATAAGATATATAACTCATCATATTAGATATGATAAAGACCAATTTTCCTTATTCTTTTGTTTGATCGTAAATTAACAATTTTTTAAAATATCTCTCTCACCGTTAATATGTACATTTCCAACGATTTATATAAATTATTGCATTTGTGAGTGGAAGGGCTTCAAATGATTTCCAATGAAATTTCTCAAAACCCAAAAGCTTTTTGTGAAAAGGAGGTTCAAATTTCGCGTTTGCAATAACACTTAAACAACAGTTTCTTAAAAACCACCCCAAATTTTTCAACGAAAATTTCCATAAAGTACGACGTTTTACTCTTCTATAATATCCTTAAAGTAATATTTCGGTTCTCCCGATACAGGATAGAAAAATTATGAAAACGTAAAAAAATGTTGTTTGGGCGGCGATAGACGGTAGTTGGGAAGAAGTGAGGCAAAACCGATAAGATAGTGCTAAATGAATTGCATGACATAATATAATGCCCCTTGCACGTATTCTTTTGTTTGTTTGTTTGTTTTTTAATTATCGAAATTATTTTTTTAATATCTTTTACACCGTTAATATTTATTTGTATTACCACCAATTTGTATAAATTATTAGATTTGTGAGTACAATTACTTCAAATAATTTCTTGTGAATTTCTTCCAAAAGCAAAAATTTGAAGAGGAAATTACCTTAAAAACGCGCATTTCTAGAAACGCCCAAATATTATCTCAAAAACGGCACCATATTTTTTAATGAAAATTTCCATGTGTGACGTGTGTACTATTCTCTCTACCCCCTCCCCTTTCGATCTACTACTGACTTATGAAAAATTAAAATTCCTATCTAGTAAAGCGTTTTACAAATTAGTGATAATAAACGTAGTATAGCAAATAAATAATGTATGTACGTACTCTTTCGGGGTCTTGCTCTCCTATGAATAGCGGTTGCAATCAGCGCGCACGGGCGGAGCAGCGGCAGGCATTGCCAGACTGCACCGTCGTGCAAGCTTAGATTAATAAAACGAATGAGCAATACATGTAAACTAAAAACACGAACCAAGAGATACAATATGTTTATTGTACAGTTTTAGAGCACAAACAATGTTGAGTGAAAGTTAAGATACTAGGACCTCTCCAAAGAATCCAACTCATTGTTATCATTGAAAATATTATAATCAAGGCTTCTTCAAAGAATCCTATTTATCTATGTCGTTTTTGCTTGTAGATGTCTTCTGGTTGACAATAACTCTAGTTATGACCGGAAAGATGGCCATTACCGCCTCCTTTGCCACTATATACGTCTTCTCTGCCGAACTCTTCCCCACTGTCATTCGTAATGTAGGTATCGGCGCAAGTTCTACGTGTGCACGTGTTGGAGGCATGAGCGCTCCCTACATCAATCTGTTGGTAAGCAAGTGCACTCCTTATAAGAAGTCTTCGAGATAATAGTAAAGATATGTAATCTCAAGAAGGTCCTTGACTCTTCTATATTTCAAATGAATTAATAGATGCCAGATCTACTGGTTGTCCAGGTTCACAGATTATTTCGTTTCTAATATAATGAATCTTTTTCGACAGATAAACACCTGGCAACCTCTTCCAGCTATTATTTTTGGGGCAATAACTGTACTTGCTGGCCTACTGGCTCTTCTTTTGCCGGAAACCGCCCACAAAACTCTTCCCGATTCTGTAGCAGAAGGAGAAGAATTTGGAAAAAAACGTCCTCAATCGACCAACTTATCTCTGGATGTAATCCCTACTTCAGGGCATCAAAACGCTGCCTATTCTACTGAACAGTGAATCGCCAATTGCGTATCAATTGATGTTATTCAGGAGCAGTGTGAATCATCTCGTAGCGCTCAATGATTTCTAAGAACATGATTCCTGATCAACCAAGACGAAAATGATATTAAATGTTTGCCAATTTGATGGATAAACCATAACAACAGATCTGAATTTACAGTCTTTCAATTACTGTAAGTGTACATTAAAGATTTTGAGATTTTTTAACAAAATTATTACTTAATCCATTCCAAATTGCACCTTTATTCATAATATTGCTTAGTGTGTATCAAGGCCCATTAATGTTGTTTAGCTATGAATCAATTGAAAACTTTACATTGATGTTGACAAGCTAACATCATTAGATAAATGTGTTGTAGCAAATTATGTAACCAATTTGAAACAAGGACTTTGAACCAGTTCTGACACAGTGACTGAGAAGAGAAGAGAAGAGAGGAAGTGTATTCAGTATTACATATAATCTGCAGGAAGATTCTTGTAAAGATATATCACATATACTACGTATTAGGCATTCATTGCAGTTACACTAACTTAGTGAAAGACACTGGTAAGTAATAATACATATTTTTTATTATTTTCACCATTCAATTTTTTCTCTTCAACTGTGTTTCGTTATTGTTATTTGACAACAAAAACAACAACAGCAATAATAATAATAATAATAATAATAATAATAATAATAATAATTTCTGACAATTGAATTGGATTTCTACAATGTTCTTTAAAGTTCGACACTGTAGATATGTACTACTAATTACTATTCAATATCATCCGACTTCCACAATGACAAGTCAATACAGTGCAATTGACCAAAAAAACAACAACAAACAATTAATATTACAAACTTGAAAAAATTCATGCAACTAACGTAACATAAGCTCATTGAAAATTATATAAACAACATGCGTGACACTCGTATATGAATGAACTCAAACTTTAACATTTCTACTAAAGATGAACATCGTAATAAAATAAGATAAAAAATACTTTAAAACATTTCATTCACAATGTGCCTGGTTATTGCTGAGTAAATAATGTGTTTGCAATGTATGTAATCACCGGTATTCACTGCTTTGACATCCCGCCCCGATCATTCAAGTAATGGGTACTTGTTACTGTTAACATCTGGTCAAAAAATGTTATTCACTGACAATTTCATAAATCTCAACAATATTTCCTCCTGTCACAAGCATCAAATATAACTAGCCCCACAAATTGTTCCGACAAATTACGTGGTACTAATACAGCAGCTAATTACCGGCAATTATGTAAGGCTCGTACGCTTACATTCGTTCATAAATCGAAAGTATTCTATATCGTAATCGAGATGTCGCGCGCGTACGTAATACGAAATTAATTGCTTACAAGGTCCACATGTGAGTAGTAGTTATGTAAATTAAATTGACAAAAATGATGATTTGGATTAATCTATTGGGGACTGATTTCATATTAGTTCATTTATTTAAAACACTAATTAATGTATTGTAATACCTCTTCTTTTGTTCACTTCGTCCGAGAAAAGTTGAATTTTTTAGCGTTTTCTATAATCTTTATAGTAACGTATGTGAAATAAATAGCAATTTCTCCCAAATATACGTTAACATATAAAACTTTTTTGGATAAACATAGAAAATTTCGTATAATATGGTTCATAATACTATTTAAAATCAGTTCAGTTTTCATCCATTTGTATATGAAAACAATATTTTACTTTTTAATTCATTTAATAAGTTGACAAGTTTAAAACATGTTTGTTGTTGTTGTTGTTTTTGTTGTTGTTGAGTACTCACAAACCATAAAAATGAAGAAAGTAAAGAGAACTGGTTTGTCAGTAATAACAAGAATAATTTATTTCATAATTTTCATGTATGTTTATCTCACACATTTTCAATAAAGTAGAACAATAAAAATAGCCATCTACAAGCATGAGACCAGGCTTCACACTGACATTTAAGATTAATAAGGAAATTTGAGATTTGAACTAAACCTAATTTCATGTTGTTTTCTGCATATGAAATATAGTGACCTTAAATTATTACATCGTGTTCTTGTTAACTGGTTTTATAGTTAAAACAGAAAATTTTAATAATGGATTAAAATTAATAGAATGACGCTTATCCACCATCATTTCTTCATTACATTTTCAAGACCAATTAAATACACTCTCAAAACAAAGATAAATAAATTGCATCATTATATTATAGTTGCTGAAGCTAAAATAGTGAGTGTTGTAAGTTCAAAGTTTTACTTTTTTTAAGTGGAAAGATTAGTAACTGAATGTAAATGAATGTAATGTCCAGCTATCATTTGACATGTTTCCCCTTACAAAAACTTTTCAGTGATGACAATCATAAGTGGTGCATTATGTATTAAATAATAGTGGAGAGCAGAATATCCTACAATAGTGCATTACATTATACAGGTATAGATCTAGGTAAATATACATTTCAACTAAATTTTCTTAAATATGTTTAACTCAGAAAGAATAGTGCTTGTATTGTTCCAAAAATGGTAAATCTTCCTCACTTCATCTGTTTTGGAAAATAAGAAATGATATTTTTGGTTTTTCAATTTTCCTATAAGAGCACACATGATACTTTTCAATGGTAACTTTTCTACAGTTCTTCCTCTTGTGCAATGTAATCGTAGAGGTTCAGCTGGTTTTGAATAAATTGAGGAAAATTACAAATATGTTGGCTTTAAGGGAGGAGCCCCTGTAGCTAGCCTTCAATCTACTACTATAACGGTGTAAATTTAAATGGATGATAATGGAACAAACTGACTAGCATTGTAGAAATAAAAACATTGGAAAGAGAAGATTCTTTCCAATTTTAGAAAATGTTTGGGGAGAAAATGCAGAACATTTCGTTGTGATGCAAAATTTTAAAGGTTGAAGCATACACTTTTTTAGTTTTTTTCTAAATAGATATAAAAATGTGAATGGAAAGAACTTTTAATAATAACTATGACAGCAGGAATATCTGAACTTTTGTTTAAGAGCACATTCATTCCTTCCGAAAATGTACTACAAAAATATCGCATTAGGCAAATATCCAAATTTGGAGAAAAATTGATGGAGATAAATTGACAATGGAACATCAAATATGTTTTGTAAACTTTTAAATCAATACCAATTTTATTATTTATTTAATATAACACAATTGCACTAAAAATCCATAATAAAAAAAACAACAACTTTAAAAAATTAAAAATATATATTGTATCTAAATACTTTCTTGAATTAAATTCATCACAAATCAAAAACTTGTATTATATGGAATGAAGGACAAAAGGTTCACCAAAATATTGATTTCATTATGGAAATCTAATTTCAAATGAAGTATATTTTCCAAAAGGTGTAAAGAAAATCAGAAAATTTAGAGATGAATGAGAAAGAGACCTTTTTTCTCCAACAACTTCTCGAAATTAAAACATACATACATTTCCAGCATACCTGGTAGATATGGGTTATGAGGATATTTTTCAATACTTAGGATCCTATGGCCCCTATCAGAAACGTATTCATATATTACTCTGCCTACCAAGTATTTTAGTGGCATTCCACAGACTGGTTGGGGTGTTTCTTTTAGCAGTTCCTTCTCACAGGTAAGGAATTTTTTATTATTTCTTAATTAAATTAATCAACCACACTGTACATGAAATATTGTTTTACTCATTTAGGTGCCTCTTGTCATGTGATTGTGAGACTGGATTATACAACCTAGCCCCTGAAATTATTAATATGACAATTCCTTGGGATTCAAAGGACAAGGAATGGTCTTCTTGTGAAAGATTAGATACTAATTTTACTTTTGACTACTTTGAAACTGGTATACCTGCTAGTGGCAAAAAAAAATGTGAATCTTGGGTATATGATGATACAACATACACAAGTAGTATTGTTACAGAGGTATTTAGTAACATGTTTTCTTTTTTGTATAGTTACCTTACTTATAGTTTTGTTGTAATATAATTCAAATTTGTATCTATATCCCATTTTTTACGTTTTCTAGAACAATCTGGTATGTGATCGTAAGTGGTTAGTTCCAACAGGACAATCAGTATTTATGTTGGGTGATCTCTTAGGTTCTTTAGTGTTTGGTACATTATCAGACAAGTAAGTTTTATAAAATTTATTTCTGAATATATGTACACTATTATTAAACAGTTTCACAGGATACCACTTAAGAATGATATATGTTGTTCCTCAGGTATGGTCGCAAGATAACATTTATCTTAGCACTCACCTTACAAGTGGTATTTGGATTAATGTTAGCTTTCTTAAATGATATTATCTCATTTTTGATATTGAGAATATTAATTGGTATGGCAACTGCAGGAGTGTTTAATTCTTCATATGTAATTGGTAATAACCTATTTTCTATGAACAGTAAATTACTTCATGAACTTTAAAATAATGCAAATTATCAAGAAAAAAGATCTCACTAAGAGCATTTTGTTTAGGGATTGAACTAGTGGGTCCAAAAAAGAGAATTTTGGCTGGAGTTGCTGTGGAATTTTTCTGGTGTATAGGATATGTTATTTTGGCTGGACTAGCTTATTGTTTCCGTGATTGGCAGACTCTACAAATTATAACCACTGTTCCTGGAGTTATTTTCTTATGTTATTGGTGGTAAGTACTAGTATTAAACCAACAACTTCTTATAGATGAGGCAAACTTCACTATGTTGTTGAAAATCAAACCCTACTGCTCACTTGTGTTAACAAAAGTAGTACCTAAGTACATTAATTTAAAATTAAAAATAAAGCATTGAACAAAAATAAAATAGAAATAAATAAGTTATTAAAAGGTAATTCCATGCCTTCTTAAAAAATACTCTCATAAAGTAATGATTTTTTAAATTTTGTATTATCACTGTTTAAAGTTATTCACATAATTAAAATGTATTGTTAATGAAAAAATGGACTGTCTTTAAATATATTTTCTTCCAGTGGTAAATTGTCTTTGGTAATACATTTCAGTTACTCTTCTATCACTTGGTGATTTAATATGGAATAAATTTTCATATTGAGAGGGAAGTTCTAATGACATTTTGGAGAAATATTTTCCTTAATATTGTAATTAATATGTTAATACAAATAACAGAAAAGAAATTAAATATAGGCAAATCAATGTTTATGATCTTCACAGATATAGGATAAGCATTTGGTGCATAATAATAATAATAATAATAATAATAATAATAATAATAATAATAATAATAAAGAGAATATATAGTTGCTATTTCTCCCAAACGACCAAATAGAGAAATTTAAGCAGCAAAAAGATAACCTGGAGACAAGCATGAACTCAGCCCCAGGTGAAATAATATTGGCTGGAGACTTTAACAGCAAGCCCCGAATGGGGCGAAAGCAGAACTGATCGCAGAGACGATATTGTTTGCTAATTCCTGGCTAGGAAGGACCTGGTAGTCCTAAACACAGGGAGCTCATGTACATTTCAAAGGGGCGC